TGAGGATGTTCTTTTGGAGTACTTTAGTGTTGGATGTCATGGCTCTCCGTCCATATAGGGCTAAGTTATTAAACAAGTATCATGTGCTTTTTCTTAAATATCAAATTGCCCATCAAGGCTTCATTGAGTACCTGAAAATATAAATTCGTGGTTTAGAGTAAGGCAGTAACAAAAAGAATTTCTTTATTGACAGGAAATACTGGTCATGTTCAGTTTGTCACTCAGATGTACTGAGTTTTAAGAAGTCTTCACACATTTGTTGAGAGTATGTTGAGATTAAAAATACCAGCTCAAAGGATGACATGTTAAAAAGAAAGAAGGTATAAAGTCTCAAAAACTTGCAAGGAAAGTATCCACTTAGATGATCCTTCCACTGTCTTACTATGATTAATTTAAGAGGTGCTGCTGATCTCAATTATCCCTGGAGCTTCAAAGACCTGCACTTAGAGTGTTTTCTTTCCTTGTTTTTCAAGTCATAGGGATGAGTAACTCAACCAGTAATTGAGTGACCTGCTTTCTTCAGAAACACCTGGGAACAAATGTAGGCAAGGACAGAGGGAATCTCTGCTGGGTTCTCTGGCTAAATGTGTCCAAAAGAAGAATAAATCAGTTGCTCATCAGAGGCACTTGGCTATATATCTTGGGATAAGAATAAAGGATTTCTTATATGTAGATAGGTTAAAAGGCAAGAGTCAGGGAAGAAATAAGGGGTCATTTTTCACAGTGTAGGGTGATGATCATCACAGTCCTGGCAGGGTCTGTGTGAATCCTGTGCTGTTCAATGTACCCATAAAGAATCATGGAAAAAAAAGAGGAACAAGGAGGTGAGGAAATCAGCTGATGATTTAAAGCTGATTTAAAGTTAGGGAGAGCTAAAGTGGGCAGGAAAATGTTATAGAAGCCCAAGTTAAGTAACAAACCAGTAAATGGCATATAAAATATAATGTCTAATGAATGCAAACTGATGCTCTTGAGGCAAATGTTGCTGAGTGTAAAACAACTGGAAGCCACTGATCTGTCCAAGTGTTGAGTGCTCAGCAGCTGGTAGGGAAAAGAAGGCAAATGGAATGTTGGATGTTAGGAAAGAAAGAGATAGAACACTCAAAAATGATTTAATTGATGGGGCTGCTTACAAGTGGAAAGAAAAAGCAGAGGGACGTGATTTTGTGTATCTCCATTATCAATGTGAAGGAAGGGGAAAGCGAGTGGTTGTTTACACTTCACTCTCTCCCATGGTGTGAGAGCAGGGAAGCATCAGGAAGTGCATTTTCACACAATTATAATTAACCTGTGAAGTCATTGCCACGGGATGTTACGGGAGCCAAAAGTGTAAAGGGAGTTCAAAAAGGGATTATACAAATTATTGGAAGAGAGTCCCTTCAGAGGTTGTTAAATATGGCATCTGGCTGCAAGCTCTGACTGAGGCCGTGTCTGCTGGTGATGGCCAAAGCCAGGGGAGGCAAGAAGGGAATGAATGGTTCTTCATGCTATGTCTCTGGCTGAGCATCTGCTCTTGATCCTTGTCAGAGAGGGGATTCTGGGAGAGGTGAAGCTTTGATATGACCTAGTCTGTCTATTCAATGTTTCATTCTCAGATTCCTAATCCTAGTTTAATACAAAATGAACTTTGTGTATGTTTAACCCTGTGGCGTTCAACCTTTCCCCTTTGCACTCGTTATCTGCCAGCTCACCAAAAATGGTTTGCCATTTTGGATATTTTTTACTGTGTTTACTACAAGTTTCTCTGGTTTATACTTTTTTAAAGGTAGATAAACACCAGTGTTTGCTCAATGCATAAACTCCTGTAATGTGTTTGTTGGGAACTGTCACTCCTTTGCAAGTTAAGGACTGTGTTTGGCACTAAATTCGTTGGTTGTTTTGGGTATGTTCTGTAAATCTGCATCTTTTACAGTGTGCTAGGAGGTTGTTTTCCTTTTCTGGATGAGTTTCAGGTATTGTACTCTTTTGTATGAATGTGTTTTTTGCTTACTTGATCACATTTATGGCAGTATTTACGTTGCACAAACGGGAAGGAAAACACGTTCAACTCGTCATTCTTCTGTTTTCCAAGTCCAACAGGGTCAATAACACAATAAGCACATGCTGGTTTGGATTAGACATCTTTTAAAGTGTTAGGAATTCACCAGGAGAAATGAAATTCTGAAAAGGGAGGGTCAATTTTAACCCAGCTTTGCTCTACCCTCAGCTTCCAGGAGACGGACAACGCGTGGCACGGTGGGTGCCTGGCCCTGGCTGAGCTGGGCAGGAGAGGATTGCTGCTGCCTTCCCGAATTTCAGATGGTGAGTTGGAGTCCGTGTAAGTTCGTGAAATAACGATTTATATTATTAGAGATCAAATGTGTGGCAATAGGCTGGAATTTGCTGATGTGAGTGTGCTGAATGATGACTGAATTATTGAATTCTGGAGTAAAACAGATGCCCGTGGGGATATTTGAGTACTTCTGTCAAAGCATGGGCTTGGGTGTGCCTTTTTTATACTTAATAAATATTTCTTTCCAAAATGGAATTAATTTCTTGGGGTTTTTTTTCTTTCTTCCTCCCTCCCATGTTCCTTTGTGCAGTTGTATAAAATAATTCCGAATGTCTCTATATTGTGTCAGTGTCATTATTTAAATACAATATATTAAATAATTGATGACTAACTTGCACTTTAAAGCCAGTAGCTTGTGCTGTTTGTTTCTGGTTAAATTTCAAAGGCCAGTTTCATGTAATTTATACACTAACTGTTTATATTTTTAATGGGTATTGAAATAGCAGGATGGAAAGAAAAAGAACAGGGCAGAGGAATTGTTTCTTTGTGTCTTCTGTAGTTTTCAACATACACTGAAGTACAGAGATACTAATGTGAGAAGGGGGAGTTCTCTGGAGCTTGTTTTTATGGATAATATTTGTATAGAGCTGGGGGAGAATAAATCCTTGAATTGTGTGGAAGAACCACCAAGAAGGTTTTCCTTGTTCACTTAAATTCAAATTAACAAGAAAAGAGATACATGAGGTGTTTTGGTTTTTTTTAATTATGGATAAAAATAACTATGAAACTTTCTACTTCCAGGGATTAGTCAGGCAAATATTAATGTAGTATGAAAACCAGCAGTGGGGACAGTAGACTCTGTAATTTTGTGTTTGGAAATCAGGGATTTGGTAGTGTCTGTCCTAAGCTTGAAGCTTTAAACTTGGGCTGTAAAGCAGCCCTTTGTCCTTATTTAAGCAGGTACTGATGTACAACTTGATACATCACCCTGACTTACTGCTTCCTGTTGTCATTTGAGTTAATTGAGCTTTTTCTGTTACCTGATTCCCTCTGTTCAAACTCAGCTTGATACTCTTGCCTTCTGATAATCTGGGAAAAGCTCTTCTTTGTGCAAGATGAAATCCAAGATCAGTGTATTCTCGTTTGGTTTCTTAGCTCAGAAGCTGAACCCCTGTAATTTAGGGTTTAATGCTGAACTGGTTACAGTGCTCTGGCTGAGTTGTTGGCTCGAAGCACCACGGCACGAAACATGAGGAAAAAAATCTGGGAATTCTGCATTGTGTTGAATGCAGCTCCACCTCCTTATGGAGGTTCACACCTGCTAGTGATGCTCAGGCAGGGGAGGATGTGTCTTACCTGAATAATGATCAATGAGAAAGATATAACTGTGATTTTATGTGAATTAACGCTTGCTCTGGCTCTGTTCTCCTTACACTGACAGTGCCACTGTGCAAATTTGCACAGGGGAGCAGTCTTATTTTAGTTCAGCTTTTGTAGCAGTTTGGATAAGCTGCACAGCAGCTTTAAGGGAATTTTGAGCTCTGTTATGTGGAGCTGAAGTATGGATGAATTGATGTGCATAAGGAATTTGCATCTGAAAGAAGCTCCTTTGGGGCTGATTGATGCTCGTGCCAGAATTCTGCTCGTCAGTTGAAAATTTAGTTAGCAATTTCTTGCTGATTTTTCTTCAACATACATGTTACAAGTAGTGTAGGGAATGTGTTTGTGTTCATGAACAACTTTCCACATATTTTAAATACAGATCACAAGATTTATTTGAAAAATTGCCAGTTTATGTACACGGTCATAGAAGCAGGAATTAGTTTGGGCTGTCTGTAGAAGCACACAGAAAATCACAGTGAGTGATACACACGTACTGAAACAGGACCTTCCCCAGGAGAGTTTGCCTCAGCTGAAATAAATTATATAAATAACCTTTTAGGCCTGGAGTTTGAAGGCTGCCCAGTGTCTGTCTAACCTCAGCAAAGCAGGCACCTAAACTGTTGAGTTCTTCATATTTTCAGTGTTGTTTTCATAGTGATTCACTTGAAGTTGAACATAAACTGCATTTGTTAAACCCATGCAGGCTTTCTTTGGTTTTACCTGAATCTTGGTCTTAGTGAGTGTGAGGAGAGCTCACTTACACAGGCTTTGGGTCAGTTTGGTTAAACTGGCATCTGTCTCTGAGTAACTAAATTTTTGGTCTGTTCTGTCTTATGGCAGAATGGCAAAGTGCATTCATACACAGAGCAGTTTTTACAGTAAATTCTAAATAGCCAGGTTTAATCTTAAGCTTATTTAAACTACTGCACAGTGACATAAAAAGGTTTTCAAAGAAAAAAGACAAAAAAACCCCTCTATTAGATGAAGTTAAGCCTGAAAAAAAGACTATGACAGCATGTTGTTGAGCAGTATTCTAGAGCTTCAACATCTTTTAAGAAAAGAAGTTGTAAAAGTTATTTTACATCAATACAATTGCAAAAACCCCTCAAAGATTCATCTAATGTACTTTGGCTTTAGTAATGAATGCAAAAATTCACTCATCAAAACCTGAGCTTATACAAGGCAAAGTTCAGTTACTTAAAAATATTAATATAAAATTATAAACATTATTTACAACGGAGAGAGATGGAATGTATCTTGTCGAGGGCCAAGTCCAATGAGAGACACGTGGCAGGAATTCCGTGGTGTCGCTGGTAACCAGCTCCTGTCACCAGAAAGGGGAGGATTAGGACACTCTTGTCCTCTTCCTCAGAGTGAAGACTCTGCTGCAGTCATTGGGCCTGACCCTCTTAGCGCCTTGCTGGGACTTGGCGGATTCTTTCTGATTTGTCCTTTTTTGCCCTTTGGCTTTCTGATTGCACTGAGTATCCTGAGCGTCGGAGGAATTACAGGTGGCTTCCGTGGCCGTGGCTTTGCTGTCCTGGGGGCTCTGCCCGTCGCTGTCCAGCCGGGCGGGGCCGGGGCTGTAGGAGGCCAGCTGGCACAGGGCCACGGCCGCCGTCTGCTTCTGCTCGTCACAGCTCTCCATGAGCCGCAGGTCCTGGGCCTCGCCGCGCTGGCCCGGGAAGGGCCTGTCACAGGCACTGCTGGTGGGGTTCTTGGGGTTGCCTCCCTCGGCTCCGGAGCTCTCGCTCTCGGCGCCAGGGGCGGCGGCGGCGCCGTTGTCGTGGGACGGGCTGTGGAAGGAGGTTTTCAGGCTCACTGTGTTACAGGAATCCTTCACCGAGAGGTTCAGGGGCATGTCCTGTAGGTCCAGAAAGCTCTGCCTGTCTGGTTTGGGTGGGGTTTTGTACACGTGCCCGTGGATGGGTCCCGTGCTCGTGTCGGCCTTTTTGGAGAGATTGAGAGGAGCGATCCCCGTGTCTTCCTCCGTGTTGGGCAATGAGCCTGAGTTGTTCTGGCCATCGGTCTGTGTGTGTGAGTCTTCATCAGTGACATTAATGCTGAAAGAAATGAGCAGAAAAGAGAATTCACTATCAGTTGTTCTTTTAAACTGGGGCTGAGGGGCAGGAGGAGGGAAAAATCTGGACGTCTAGGTTAGAAGTCTGACAATTGTATCGTTTCTCCTTCAACTCTCCAAGTCCCTTTCACCAGACCTATCACTGTAATCCAGGTAACTCCCTGAAGTACCCAAACGCACACAGTTACTGCACTGGAAATGCCTGGTACACTTAAGGGGAATGAGTGGTCTGCTGTGGGCTGCACTGTGCTGTGCACAGCTGGTACAGAACATGTTATCTCCCTGCTGTAAATTTAAATATATTTAAGGGGCACTGCATGAAACGTGCCCATCTAGCTTTGCGTGCCCCTGGTAAGCCTGACAAGCACTTGCAGAGTGATTTTGTTACTCTACCTGGTGGGTGAATCCCCTCTCTCCTGCTGTGCCTGCACGCCTTGAAGTGCGGTCGCTTGGTCAGTGCTTTTTCTCACGGGTCTGAAGGCCGTGAAGTTTTCTTCTGGTTGGTCATACTTGCCCAGGGATGTGGAAGATGACTTGTTGGAGAGGTCAAATAAGCCCTCACACGCCTGGCTTGTCTGGGTGAAGTTGGTGGGACTGGGTCTGCCAGGGGAGCCCGTTGCTGCACTTCCTGCAAGAGGGCTCATTTTGGCGTTCTCTCTCTCATTTTGGTCATCCTTGGGGTTACCTTTGCCATGCAACAGTGTCATTTCTTTTTCATAATCTGCTTGTTTTTTGTGTGAGCTTAGAGGGTATTGTTGGGAAGGGCTTAAAGAAGCTGGGTACAGCAAGGTAGTTTCTTCCATCAGATGAGAGTTTTGATCCCTGTTTATACCAGCTACGTGTGAAAATCTGTAAAATGGGGGATCTGTTGGCCTACAAAATCCATATGGTAGCGGTGGAGTGGAGTGATATTGTTGGAATAATCGATAGTGTTCATATGCTGATGGATTTATGGGCTTTGGAAGTGGCCCAGGGTGGGGAAGAAAGTGTCTTTGATCTTGTGCTCCATAGACAGAGAGGGCAGAGCTTTCACACTCCGAGTTACCTGGGAGCAGGTAGGGTGTGTAGATGGCCAGCCTGTGCTCATAGAAGTGGGGGGAATACTCAGGAATCATCGGTTGCATGTAAGGTGAAATGGAACCAAAGCCCTTTGTGGGAGCAACTTTGTGTGGGAACTCTGGGAGGAAAGGAGAACCCGCCTTCCACGGGTGAGCCGGTGCGTGAAACGCCGACTTGGTGTGGAAAGGGGAGCTTTTGTTAGAGAGGGACAGGATTTCAGACGCTTCGCTCATTTCCGGGCCTTTGCTGTCCCGGTGTTCTCCGACGGGAACGAAGGCCGAGGGCCTGACCATGCCCTCCATCAGGGGCTGCACGCTGAGGGCACTTTCTCCTGCGGAACTGGCAGGGTTTAATTCCTTCGGGACCGCGGGCTTTTGTCCTTGAATTGCTGCGTTCGTTGCCTGGTTTTGTAGCTCAACGTTTTCCTTGGCATCTTCTTTCGCGAAAGGGTACTGAGGCTTTGAATCGAGGCTCGACAGTCCATTCGTGACAGATTTGGAAGAGGTTGGTTTGACGGTGGGTTCGAGCTGATTGATCTGTTTGGGCTCCAGGGAACTGCTCTTTGGGCACTTGATGACTCGATCCTGCTCCGACACCAAAGTGATGGAGTTTTTGCAGAGGCCGTACTTCATGTGGTTGAAGAGATGGGACTTCTCATTGCAAGTGAAGGGGCACTGGAAACACTTGTACTTGAACGGCTTTCCCGGTGGCCTTGGGATGTAATGAGGCTTCTTGGGTTTGCGTTCTTTGAGGAGGCTCATTTTTTTTTCTTCTGCTTTAAACAATTAAATGTAATGGTTCTTTATAAAAACTTTCTTGTGGTTCGCCTTCCTCAGCTGTAGCCTCGTGATGTTTCCGGTTTTTCAGGTTTCTAGAATCCTTCTTCCCAGGTGAGGAGAAGCTCCCGCGGTGTCTCAGGGAAGAGGGTGCTGGAAAACAGCGCTTCTGCCACTGGTAGTGCAGGAACTGAAACACAAAGTTTGAAATGAGCTTTAGGGGAACACTGGAACAAAATGTAAAGTGGTGCATTCTCTTAACTGCATTCCCCCTTTTACTGCATAAGTTGTGATTGGTTTTGGTTTTTTTTTTTAAATAAAACACAAGTGCTGGATGCCAGACCTGAGTTGGACAGGCACTGACCTTTGGCATCCTCCCCACACCCAGACACAGTCACACAAGTGGCCTAATTTCCAGCAGCAGCTCCTGTCACCTGCCCCTGCTGCCGGCTCGGGGGAGTTCCCTTTGAAAGCCCAGGGAAGGTTCATTGAGAAGATGAAAGTAGAAATCCAGGCGGAGCTGCTGAGAGAGGAGTGGAGGTGGGTGGGATGGGAAGGGGCAGGTCCCGGCAGCGGCTGGATGTGGGGTGAGCCTGTCGGGCCGGTCGGGGAGAGCGAGGAGGGAATTTCCTGCTGTGGTGACACAGGGTGGGGTGGACGGGTCGCACTTGGGCGGCTGACAGGGCTCTTTCTGGGACTGACCAACCCCTCTCTTGGCTGGGGTGGCGTTTCCCAGCAGCCCAGCCTGAGTGGATACCTCAAAAGTGGCCAATCTCTCGAAGGATAAAACCACACCGATTTTCTTCCTCTTCCTAATTCAATTAAGAGAAATGAGCACTGCAGTGTGTGACTAATGGAATCCTCTGCCTGATAAACACGTCCCCCGTCCTCCTGCTGCCTGTGGCTCCTCACTGATTGCACGGAGTTAGCAGGGACACCCCAGTGTGTTAACTCTGGGGGGAAAAAGTGCCTGACAGCCACTGATTTATGGGGGAAGGATCTATCTGCCTCTCTCTGGAAAAACGGAGGTTGTGGATACTTTATCCAGCCCAGTGATTTGCTGGGTAGATAAGTCGGGAGGGCTTGTACCGGCTTGTTCCATTATGTTCACTGATTCTGAAGGCGTGAGAAACTCTCGGAGTCAAGTTCTCATGATTTTATAGGATGTGTTATGGCAGAGATCTAAAAACTGATGATTTCATCATGAACTACAAGCATCATTATCAAAATGATGACTGTTGCAAAACCACGTACTGTATCTATTGTGTTACCCGAAACTACAGGAATATTAATTGTGAGGGTGACGAGATAGCTCCTTTTTTTTTTTTTTTTTTTTTTTTTTCCTTTAGAGAAAGCTTTTTACATAGAACTTTGAATTAGGAGTATTAAAATCCCGAGTTTATGAAAAGAATTGCTGGTAATTACGTGCCGTGAGATTTTAGGTAAAGCAGAGATGGTTTGCATTTCTTAAATCAGAGATTATTTAATAGAAAATGACAGGCAACACATGATGAAAACTGAAGGCAAAGCTACAGAATTGCTACTTGTTTCATCAGGTACAGTAATTCTAGCAAATTGTACTAAATGTTGTTTCTGATGTCATAGAAATATTAATTTTGTTAAAATAGTAATTGTGAAGGCACCCTGAAAAATGCAAAGCTGCTCTTTAAGTGGAAATAACAATCAAGCTTTTTCCTAAAATTAAAAAATTATTAAATGTGATTTAGATTAAAGAAAAAGGAATGTCTAGAGAAGTAGCTTGTTGTTTTGGAGGTCTAAACAAAGTTTTGTTAGTTGCTTAAATTGGATGCTGATACTATAACAACAACAGCAAAAATGCAGCAGCATGTTAAAGTCTTGTCACTGGAGCCTGGTTGAAATGATAGTTCAATAAATTAAAAAATGAGTCATATAGTATTTTAAAATATTTTAAATAACAATAGTCAGAATTCCTTTGAAAGATTAAGAAAATGTTTTTACATTAAATAAATGAAATATTGAGGTATAGGAGGAGAGGTCCAGATAGGGAACTGGGCTTTTTTTTCTCTGCCTTAAGTGAACTTGTTGCATTTATTTTTGACTAATGATGTATAACTAACATGGAAAGTTTGCAATGGACTTGGTTGAGTCAGTTTGGACCTGTTATTCTTTATATCTTCTTGGAAGTGCTTGTACTACTTATTCTTGAAAAAAAAAAGATATTGTTGTCAAAACTGCATCTCTTTCTTAGCTGAGCCATTTATGATAACGTCCGAATCTGCATTCAGGTGCAGCACTTATAATAAAGGGATGGTAATTAGATTTCCTCGTTCTGCCAGCTTTCCTTTGCTTCATAATGAAAATTCCTGTGTGTCCTGTCCTCCCCCCTCTGACTTTGTACTCGGTATTTCACTTTGATTCAAGTTATTCCTGTTGGGCAGAGTATTAACTATCGTTTCTTAACGAGATAAAATGTGGTGGTGCACTTTTAATGGTGGAAATTTCGAGCCTTGCAGCTCCTTTGCCGTGGGTACGGCAGGAGACCATTCCAACAGCTTCTTATTCCTCTCCATTTAATTTGTTTTGATGGCTCCCAGAACCTGCTGCTCTGACTTGGGAGGTGCAGGGCGAGCAGCTCATTTTGAAAGGGTGTTTACCCTTTCCTAAACTTAGGTCAGTGCCAGCCAGGTGAATGTTCTCTTTCTCTCTTTTAGTATTTAATCCCTTCTTTTCTCATGGTTTAAAAGTGCCAGTAATAAAATATTTCTAAAGCCAGACAAGAAGGATAATTTCTCCTCCTCCAGTCTCTAAGTAAAACACAGGAGTATCTGGCAGAGGGACATATTTCATAATTAAAAAACATTAAAACTATTTGATCCCACAAACACAGCCAGAAAGGATATGAATGGTTTAAAAAAGGTCCAACCAATTAAAACTGTCCCTATATAAATAAAGTTGCTTCCAGCTGTACAGTGTGTTGTGCTGCTGAAGTTAAAATTTAGTATTAGAAAAATTAAAATGCGTAGTTCCTTTTTCTTAAAGTTTCAATGCATAACTCCTGATATCCTTAAACCTGGGGGAAAAAAAAATCTTCAATAGCAGGATGATAATTTTTATTTTTATGTAACTTTGTTTCTTTTTTTTTTTTAGATTGAAAATTTATTTCCTGTGGATGTGGTTGTAGAAATGCAGATAATTATATATCATTCTGATTTTCTATTTTTGAAACTTTAGTAGATTATTTAGTTTTATTGAAAGCAGGTTATTCAGTTAATATTGGCTAAGCTTGAGGCTGTCTGAGCTGTTTGTTTTTGTCAATAGTAACCTCCCCACGGCTTTCGAACCTGTCGCCCTTTCCAACCTGAGGCTGATGCCTCCAAGTTTTCTTCCTTCTGTCTTTAAAAGCAGGTTGGTGTTCCTTCCTTTGCCTTTAACCTCTTGGCAGGTTCAGAAAGCAGGAATGCAGTTGGACATTATGTGTGTGTGTAAATATATCAACACAAATGTCCGTGGGGAGAAGTGTACACACACACATAGGCACATGTGTACTCATACACACTCAGAGATATGTACACACACATCGGTGCAGGTTGTTTTTTAGGGTTTTAAGGAGCCCAAATTGTTTAAGGTGCCCAGTTGATCAAAGAGGAAATTTCAAAATGTCTTTTATTACAAGCAGGGACAGTAATTACATTTCTTTTTAGGACACTGCTTCAGCAAAGTACGTAAGAGCTGGTCATGCCCACCCCATTATTATTGCAGGCTCCTTCTGGTGATGTGGATCTCTCTGACCAGGAGGACTCACTGGGGTGGAACATTTTGAAGGACATGCTATAATTAAAATATTGTGATGTGGCATTATTGCATAACCCAAGGACATGCCATTGTCACCTACCCAGGGTGTTGCAAGAACAAGATTTGTGAGTTTTATTCTAGCTGAGATTTTCCAGCGATTAACCACCCCTCCCTGCTGAACTTCCAGGTCCTCCAAACTGAAAGATAAATTTTTAACGCAACTGTTTGTTAATTAGGAGGAAATGTGGGTGAGAGCAGTGGGCTGGGAAGGGAGTGTGTGTGGAAGGTACAGACCCACAGGAACTCCGTGTGTGTGTCCGTGTGTGCGAGAGGAAGCACAGAAACAGATTAAATGAGTTGCTCAGGCAGCGTGGGTGAGGAATGAAAATCTTTGTACATACTAAGTTAACAAATCAATGTCTTAATACACTTCAATTGACTAGAAAAGAGAAAACAATCCAATTTTCTGCTAAGTTTCCAGAAGCTGGAAAAATTAATAAATCAAAGCTGGTGCCCCTTATTTTCATAGGAGCTTTTCTGATGAACCCGACACGACTCTGTGAAGCAGAGTTGGCAGAGCAAGCACAGCATTTTTAAGCTATACAGCTTTTTGTCATAAGTTCAATATAATACATTAACTCCCTGGAGGAAAAAAAAAGAGGTGCCTAAAAAAAACCTTTTGCACCAACAGGAGTTAATTACTGTAAAAACTTGCAAGAAGTTAGATTTCCTCTTAAGACTAAAATATTCCCATCTCCTGTTGAAAGTTTCTGCTGAAAGCTGAGAGTGGTGCCGTGGGAGTGCACCTGCTGGAGTAACCCCGGCTGCTGGGACAGCTGGGGACCGAGCACCTCGCATTTACTCCTCAGATGTGGATACAAACACGTTTTGTTTAAAGAAATGTTCTAAAGGAATGGACTTACCGGGCACAGGGGTGTCCGAGGGCTGCGGTGAGCGCGGCTGAGCTGGAGCTGTCACTGCTGGGAGAGCAGTACCTGTTCTCTGCCTGAGCCCTGAGTGAAACTGCAGGAGGCTGTTCCAGGGGAGGGACCTGAGCGTGTAGGAGTTGAGCCCTCGGGGTGTAGAGATGCACCTGATATTACTCCAGCCTGCAGCTACGATTCATTTGTTTGCGTCCACCGCTCTCCGGCAGCATTACCTCAGCAGCCCAGGATCGAACTGAGCTCCTGTGCCCTCCAACAACCACCTTTGCCTCTGAGCTGTCTCTTCCTCTGGGAGGCGGTTGTGGGGTCAGAAATGTCTTAGTTAACACTGAGGATATTTAACTTTTGTGCAAGTGACTCGTGGGCAGCAGAGCTGACTCCACGCAGCGGGTGGCACAGCTTACAAATACGGTTTTACTTATTTCATAGAGACTGCCATTTTTTATTGAATGCTCTCGTAGCTTTAA